TAAAAGCTGTTTTCGATAATGGCACTTTAAACTTCTTATGACTCCCTGGTCCATAGGCTGCAAGACACTCGTGCAGTTGGCTGGTAAGAACACTAGATTTATATTGGTCAAATTAAGTTTGGGATGGGCTGCACAGTTGTCAACCAGGAGAAGAATTTTTCTTTTTTTGAGAGTTCCTTGTCCCACCTTCTCAATTCTTCTTCAAAAATAGCAGAAGTCATCCATGCTTTTTTATTGGCTGTGTAGTTTACAGGTAGTGTTTTAATGTTTTTGAAACATCTAGGATGTAAACTTTTCCCAATAACCAAAAGCTTTCTTTTCTCTGTACCTGTCATATTTGCACAAACAAAAGCCGTCACTCTTTGCTTGAAAAGTTTTCCACCGACACATTTTTGATTTTTGAAATTTAAAGTTTTGTCTGGCGTTAATTTATAAAAGACACCTGTCTCGTCACCATTAAAGATATCTTCATCTTTGTATGGTTGCCTTTGTTGTGGCCATGTGTTTTGTAACCAGTCACTTGTTACGTTCTCGTCCACACATTTTGCCTCTCCAACAATTTTCGAGAAGGAAATTGAGTGCCTGGCTTTAAACCGATCTAACCAGCCGTTAGAGCATGTGAAATCTTCACAAAACAATTTTCCGAACTCTGTAGCTTTCTCCTTTAAAAGTGGCCCGGACACAGGGATATCAGAACTGCGACACTGCTTGAACCATTTGAGTAGAGCTGAATCTACATCACCACGAATGCACTTCCTAATCTTTTTAACATTGTTTCCGTCCTCTTTAAAGGCTTTTAAAATTTTGTCCTTGTTTTTTATGATTAAGCCGACAGTCGAATTAACAAGTCCAAATTGCCGGCATACATCAGCAATTTTTCGACCACTTTCATTTTTTCGATAAATGCGAAATTATAGATTGTCAGGGTAACATAACTGTATACAGAAGGGATAATGGACCTTTCTTACATTCTTGGAAGGAACAAATGCCGCAAAGCCAGAAACGCATTGCACTTTATTCTTCATAAAATAAAAAAAGGATAACCTACTATAAAATTGTATGACGCTATAACCGAGGGTTAGTTTAACGCTATAACCCGGTTTTAGCCGATAAAACCGGGTTTTTAATAACGTTATAACGTTATGGAATAGTTTTTGACCGGACCTATTACAAATTGACGTTATAACCGAGATGACGTAACTACCGAGGCCGTAATAAGCGAGTTCCACTGTATATAGAAGTAATCGGGACTTTGGCAGATTTACTATGTATAAGCTCTTCGCCAACACCCTGGTATACACAGGTCGCTTGTAATGCGTCATCGAACCATATACTAGCGACTGTAAGTTCTGCCTTAGTGTGCTAAAGGTTGGCCCGTAGGAGCCAGATTGGAAGATGAAGATCTATTGGATATTCACGGTCAACAAGAGTCCTCTTTCGGGCCATCTCTTTTTGTTTCCGTGCGTATTTGAGATTATTCCGTGTATTAAGAGAAATATAGTTCTCCCTTTTATTTAAATTACTGGATTTAAACTATTTATGAAATCGGTACTTTACTTGATTGAAAGTGTAAAATTTTTCTTCTGAATAAGCTGTGTTACAGCAAAACAGTCATGAAATTAAAAACCAATGTGATTTTTGCTTTTTTTTTCTGCTTACAACTGTACTGGTGTTTGTTTTTCTTTAGATTAATTTCAATCTTATATTGAATGAGTACTTAATGTTTTTATTACTGGTTATAGGATCATAGGAAGATGCATATTTCTTGGTAGTTTTGAAGATATTTTTAAATTGATGAATGAATTAAATTATCTGGATTATCACCTAGTTAATACTTTAAGTTATAGGTTGCTATTTAATAACTATACTGGAGTTATAACGTAAATTATTCTTTTAACATTCTTCGTTTACCCTAATTATATGAATATTAATAGTTAGGTCGTGATCGTGGAAGGGCTACACTAGTGAGTATAATTTTCACCGTCTTCTCGTCCATATTGGAAACTTATAAACGTGATAAAATGTTAATTGCCGTTTATTTATCTTAATAAGAGACCGGTATCAATAACGGATTTCCTTAATTTAATATGAAAATTCACAATAATCGAAATAAAAATTTTGCGTAGCTGTTAATTTTATAACGTAAATGCATAATATATACGGTGTAGGTAAAAGTTTATGGTCGGTATAGTAGAATTTAACAGGATATCTAACACAGATATAAAATCATATTTTCAGCGAATAAACAAAAATAACAATCAGATTTTCCCTTGGTCTCCCCTGCACATTCCTCATGCACGCCCATTAGTGAAAGCCAGACGATTATTTCCGATCCAGCTTACACCTAAGTAACAGCGGCAGGGTTGCCTTATTACAGAATTGAATTAAAACATCGAATTGATTAAAAAAATTGGCGATCAGTAGCGCGGTTATATTGCCATTCAAAACTGGATGATGATATTTAAAATGAAACACTAATTGACACAAATACTGGTACAAAATTTCTTAAATCCATGAGAAATTTACAGATTCGCATTTTTATTTGACGAAATTATAACCTAATTTCCAATAAAACAAGATAATTTTGGCAACATCGCCATTCGTCCGTTCTCTTTAATGGTAAACTGCATACGAACAGGCCGAACGCTATGTTATATATTTCTTTTTGGAGGTAACCCTGTAAGTGTGAAGATAAAAATTTGATATGCCGACTGTTTATACAACAGAAGAACGGGTACAAATAATAAAATGGTACTTTGGGGGCAATTCAGTACAAGAAACTATGAATTTATTTATTATGGCTTTTGAAAATAGGCCAATACCTATAGAAAAACTGTATTGGCCATTATTCATCAATTTGAAAAGTTTGGCTGTACTAATGGCAAATGTAAAAAATATTGCCCATCAGGTCAACCTCGCGAAAAGAAAATTTCTCAAGAAAGAGAAATTAGATAAATTCAAGTTTATGCATCAAGTCAAGCGACGGACGCCGTGTTCAAGTAAACAAATTGCTGATGAAGTTGATTTGAATGCAAAAACAGAGAGGAATATTTTGAAATGAAAAAACTACCATTGTTATAAAGTGTAGACAATTCAAGAAATATTTCCTGATGGTAAATTTAAACGGATGCAATTTTGTGAAATTATGATGGGAGAGATGCCATGCAAATAATAATTTTTTGAAAAAAATTTTGTTAACAGATGAGTCCTGAATAAGCATTTGAGTGTGTCTGTGCGTACGCAGTATCCACAAAAGATGAATGTTTGGACTGGAATTTTGGGAGACCATATTATTGGTGCTTTTTTCATTGAAGGCAATTTAAACGCATCTAAATATCTTCAAATTAACTTCAAAACGAAATTTATTGCAACAAGACGGCTGTCCTGCACATAATGCAAAAGTCGTTAGAGACTATTAGCGTTATTTTTTGTTGAACGTGTCATTGGTACAGATGGTACAATAAAATGGCCCCCTAGGTCACCCGACTTAGCTCCTCTAGATTTTTATTTTTGGGGGATGCTAAAAACGAAATTGTACACGCCACTAACTTAGAGGAACTGAAGGAAAAGGTAATCATATCGGCAGATGAACTCAACGCCATGAGAAATGCGTTGGTTGTCTGTTTGAACATTTAATTAACTAAGAATTTTATTTGGTTTAGAATTTCTAATTATTTGGAATTATTTTTAATTTAAACAGTAGTGTTGGAATTATTTTTTATTTGATTTCATTTTTATAGAACAAATTTTATAATTAATACTAAATTTATCTTTTTTTGTTTCATTTTTATATAACTAATTTTTATTTTCACATCTACTACCTCCAAAAAATCTAAACAAAGATATGGTTTCAAAGATATACCAAATAATATATATTTTTAATTAAAAGACGTAATTTTTCGTCCAGTTTAAATTTAATATAATAGAATACTACTACTATAATTACTTCTTACTTCTACTATAATTAATAAAATACTCCTTCCTAATGCTTTACTAGTACTGTCTTTATTTATTATGTTTTATGAAAGACCTACCCACGAATCCATGCAATACGCATGGCATACCAAACTAGTTCTGCTCTGCTCGTTACCACAGTATTAAAATCAAAGTGTCGTTACTTTGACGACGCGACGTTGCCAAATAATTTTGTATGAAGCTTTTTTATTGTGGCGTCATAATGCAGTTTATTATTTTTATTGGGAATAAGGCACAATGTGATTCTAGAATAAGCTTATTTTGATGTTCAGATTTCCAATTCGGAAATTGTACTTCAAATACGAAACAATAATAACTTTTATTTATATAAAAAGATTTGTAAAGTGAAAATCAAAATGTTAAATTTATCTTGATTGTAAAGTAAAACTGTGACATATTCCCAATAAAAAACAGTAAGCTGCCATTTAAATCAATTCGCCCAAATTTGATTATCTTAGAACATTGTTCAAATGCTAAAAAGCCGACAGGTCAAATAAAACCAATATGTTTGGCAACGTTGAACTTCCCCTCTTTTGTTGAATTTATTATTTCCACTAATGCATTTTCGACGATATAAAGGTTGGACCTAATATACCTCTCTCTTTTTAAACAGGTGTTTCTCACTCCATCTCACGTAAGGTCCATACTGAAGATAGATTATTACTCAGGTTGTATATAGTTCTTCATATACACAAGTATCAATTACATTATTTTGTAGCCTTATTTCATACATTACTATTTTAAATTTAAGTTGATTTAGCATTTATTAAAATTTTGACAGACACTGGTTAATCCAAATAATTCTTAGAAGAACTAGTACAAGTGTCAGAAGTTCCTTCAGTTATGTATTAATAGCTTTCATATCTAAACTATTCCGGCAATTATTTATAGAGTAATTGATTCTAAAATACTCTATAAATAAATAAAATATAAATGGGTGGCATACCCTTATCGCATCTATTTCCTCCTTAAATTAATCTGATAGTTAATATTATGTTTTACTTACTTTCCTTAATAATACATACATATAGTCGAAAAAAATCCATCCAAATTTAAAATAGACAATAAAGAATTAACTACGAGGAAACATTTTATTGATTCGACTAAAAACGAAGTTAAGGTAAAATAAAAATACCGTATAATTTAACAAAGTAAATAATTTATTTTTGTTTCAGTACATGAAAGAAAGCATTAACATGAACAGGAGTCGTAGTAAAGATCGTTCTGCACGTCAGGTAGGTTCAGAAACCTAATTGTGATATACATACTGTTAATTACATCTTTAAACTAAGTTGAAAGAAATCTTCTATGTACTACCTTGGTATTAGATAATAATGGCAGTGTTATAAAAGACCCTATATCTGTCTTCACGTATGAGAGAGAGCGATACTGTTTTTTTTTGCTTAGTCTTGTCGTCATATAGTCAGACACAAAACCAATAAGACAGTATCCATCATTATAATTTACCTAAATGTCCTAACACAAAGTTAAGATTACATCGACATTAGGAGAACAGGACACACTCTTCTCGCCTAGCGACCTATCAAGGCATTGATTTATATAAGACAAAACAACACTAGGTTACAGAGAGAAGGAAGTTATACAAATGGTTTAAAACAAAGGTAACAAAATTAACTAACATATTTTTAGAGAATTATAATGATAATTTGCTGTCTTTTAAAAATTTAAGTAGAGTTGTATACATCTACACAAAGCCAAGTGATAAATATATTCCAAGGAGCTGCTATTTTACATTTTTATAAATAATTTATAAGTTTGGATGAGTAGACTGTATTTTTAGAATAACCAAAAATTATATGATCTAAATCACTTTCCTCCCCACAATGCTTACATTTATCATCATCCAAAATCTGTATTTTAAATAAGTGTTTTGGATAACATGCGTGCCCAAATCGTACTCTAATAATGGAATTAATTACTATTAAACTAGGAAGAAGCCACAATTAAAGATAAAAATACGTTTATTGACGTTTCAATTTCCACTTCGGAAATCGTTCTCAAAATACAAACAGTAAATTAAACAAATTTTGTTTTTTGTTACATAGTGAAAAATTCTTCTAATAATTTAATTTTATCTGACTCATTTATATTGACAATTCAGACATACATTATGCATTTTAAAGTAGACGACTTTAAAATGATATTGCCAATATTGTTGAGTTGCGCTCCTGGGACGACTTTACTTATAAGATAGTTCATTCGATTACATGAAATCAACTTTAACTTGAGAATATCCGTCAGAAAAAAAATCATAGCATGTAATTCGTCTTTAAAAAGACAAACACATGACAGTAAAATTCTCCTCTTAGTGATTCCATAGTAAATTATGAGGGAAAAACCAGGAAAAAAACCTCAATACTATCCCGACATTGTAAGTATTTGTTCGTGAATTTAGTTTACCTTCAACAAACATCAAAATTCTGATTTTATATGTTACGGTATTTAAAAAACATAAATGATGTATCCTCTATATGTTACTGACTTACTAATACTGGTATTTTCTTATTAATAACTTCCTCTTTCAATATTGGTAACCAGATCCTACTACATTCTGCCGAGGAATTTGCGACACAATTGGCCTCATTTAGCATAATTAGAGCCGCTTCTTTGATTTTTCTTTTTTTAGCATCCGTTTCTTTTAGGACTACATTTGAATTATTCCATTGAACCCTATGTTCATTATCCCATGCGTGTTTACAGATTTGAGATCTATCAAATTCTCTATTTTTAATATAAGATTGATGTTCACTTATTCTAACATTTAATGGCCTTTATGATTCACCTAAATAAAACTGATCGCATTCAATAGGTATTTTATAAATGCAATTCTTTGTCCTTTTTTGTTCATTGTTAGGTTTGGTTTTGGACAAAATAGATCTCAACGTGTTTGTTGTTTTGAATGTTGTTGAAATGTTGAATTTATTTCCTATCCTTTTAAGTTTTTCTGATAATCCTTTTATGTACGGTATTGTTATTTTCCTCATATTATTCCTTGTGTATGCTGTAGGATCTCGTTCTAAGTTGTTCTGGTCTATTCGATCGATTGTTGAAAATTCCTTATTTAAAAACGATAAAGGATAATCATTTTTTAATAAAACAGATGTTAACAAATGTTTCTCCTCCAAGAACAAATTTTCGTTAGAACAAATTTGTCCAAAACCAAACCTAACAATGAACAAGAAAGGACAAAGAATTGCATTTATAAAATACCTTGTGAATGCGATCAGTTTTATTTAGGTGAATCATCAAGACCATTAAATGTTAGAATAAGTGAACATCAATCTTATATTAAAAATAGAGAATTTGATGTGATCTCAAATCTGTAAACACGCATGGGATAATGAACATAGGGTTCAATGGAATAATTCAAATGTAGTCCTAAAAGAAACGGATAGTAAAAAAAGAAAAATCAAAGAAGCGGCTCTAATTATGCCAAATGAGGCCAATTGTGTCGCAAATTCCTCGGCAGAATGTAGTAGGATCTGGTTACCAATATTGAAAGAGGAAGTTATTAATAAGAAAATACCAGTATTAGTAAGTCAGTAACATATAGAGCATACATCATTTATGTTTTTTAAATAACGTAACATATAAAATCAGAATTTTGATGTTTGTTGAAGGTAAACTAAATTCACGAACAAATACTTACAATGTCGGGATAGTATTATGAGGTTTTTTTCCTGGGTTTTCCCTCATAATTTACTATGGAATCACTAACAGAAGAATTTTACTGTCATCATGTCATGTGTTTGTCTTTTTAAAGACGAATTACATGCTATGATTTTTTTCTGACGGATATTCTCGAGTTAAAGTTGATTTCATGTAATCGAATGAACTATCTTATAAGTAAAGTCGTCCCAGAAGCGCAACTCAACAATATTGGCAATATCATTTTAAAGTCGTCTACTTTAAAATGCATAATGTATGTCTGAATTGTCGATATAAATGAGTCAGATAAAATTAAATTATTAGAAGAATTTTTCACTATGTAACAAAAAAACAAAATTTGTTTAATTTACTGTTTGTATTTTGAGAACGATTTCCGAAGTGGAAATTGAAACGTCAGTAAACGTAGTTTTATCTTTAATTGTGGCTTATTCCCAGTTTAATAGTAATTAATTTACAATGCCACAAGAAAATAGCTTCAGAACAATACTAATAATGGAAGTTATGTGCCTCCTAGAAATTCTACAAGACTTGTACCAAGGAAATTTGGGAATATCTGGCCGAATTAACGGGTATCTATTTTGATCCATAAAAGAGTATTCTTTCCACTGGTAGCTCCACTCTCGAAGCAATGTTGACTTGCAAGAGATGATACTATCCGAAAGCGTTACTTTATGCAGAAAACCGGTATCGGTTGAAATACTTTACGTTACTTTGGCTAATAAGTCGACATATGCAAAATCCTCCATGTGCTTTAGTCCGGAGAAAATGTACGTTGATTCCTTTGGTTAAGCAAATTTGTTTAATATATTTAAGTTTATAAATGTATGGGCAGTCTTATAAGTTTGGAGCTTCATTTTATCAATAAATTTTAACACTGCTAAGGAGTCAGACAAAATTATAATATGGGCAAAATCAACTTCAGCTAATATAATAAAGCTTCATATATTGCAATTTGTAGCGGAATTTGTATATCTGGGCAGCATAATTGACTGTAATGGGGGTACAGAGCGTGATGTACATGAAAGAATAAATAAGGCTCGCAACGCCTACAACATGCTTAACAACATATGGAAATCCAGGATTTTCCCAACTAAAACGAAATTAAAAATCTTCAACACAAATGTAAAAGCTGTATTACTGTATGGCTGCGAAACGTGGAAGATATCAGCACCCATAGTACACCAATTACAAGTTTTCATCAATAGAGCGTTACGAAAAATCCTTCGTATATTTTGGCCTAACCGAATCTCCAATGAAAATTTATGGAACCAAAGCAACCAAGAAAATGTCATAAAGCAAATAAGGCGAAGAAAATGGAGATGGCTGGGCCACACACTCCGTAGACCGCCAAATGACATTGCCAGGACAGCGCTGGATTGGAATCCCCAAGGCCGACGGAAAGTAGGCAGACCTAAGGGAACTTGGAGAAGGACAGTACTGGACGAAGGGAGAAAAATGGGAAAATTCTGGCACTAGCCAGAAATAGAGTTCGCTGGAGACACTTTGTGGAAGCCCTATGTTCCTCTTAGGAATCTTGGGACTATATATATATATATATATATATATATATATATATATATATATATATATATATATATATATATATATATTGCAATAGCCTCTGCCGTATAAATCGAAGTCTCCGGTTTCAGTTTGAATTTCTATTTTATATATATATATATATATATATATATATATATATATATATATATATATATATATATATATATGTCCCGATGGTATAAAAAAAGCACAACCTGTTCCATCTGAAGATTTAGACGCAACTGTATATAGAGCTATTGACTCTGTAATTGCTCGTTATAGATAGAACGATATTTTTATTTAAATATTATGTTTTCACTATAATTTGGTACAATAGTATCTGTGAAAAAAAAAGAAGAATACGTGTAGTTTTTGAGTATGTAGTTCGTTTTATCTATAATTTTTAAAAGTATGTCTACTAGTATGTTTAGGATTAAACTTGAGAGGTCTCTGGTTAAATTATATCAGATAAATAATTATAACGAAAAATGCAATAGTGGTTGGTACACAAAATCGGTGAAAATAGCAACTATAAATTGTGAATAAGTTATGAAATCAACTGGTTTACTCATTATCAATGTTTTGTACAAAGAACAGACTTACCCGCCGCGCCGTCGCCTGAGGCTCAGCAAGGGAACCGTCCGGAACTAGATGCGTGCCGATCGATCGTTGTCTGACGAAGAAGTGCCAGTGCCAATGCGTTGATATGGTCAGAGCTAAGAATGAAACCCTCTAAGCGGTGGTCCGAGAGGGTGTACCAATAAATCATTCCATTGTATTGCGACCTTTCCGATAATTTTAGCTAATTGTGACGGTAACACGACACTTGTGTGTATATTTTTGAACCATACAAAAGAGAAGCCAAATTCTCCGTATTCACAACATCATAAATGAGATATCCAGTTTAAGTTTTACGAGACAACAGGAAACAATATATTTCAAAAAGGTCTTTAAAATACAGCACCAAATTAGATCACATTACAGTACCGTAACAGAAAAAATATTAACTGTAAAATTATGAAATGAATTCGCACATACTTTCCCAAACAAGTATTTTTTAAAAGTAAAGTACTATATTTTGATTATACGCTTCACAACGTAAAGGAGACTTCTTTTTTGGTCAATATTTATTAGCCACGCCATGACAATTCAAGTCACTATCTTTTCTTAAAGAGGTGGGTTCAGTTAGTATACTTTCATTAAATATTTTTTGGACAAAAAATTTCGTCTTAGATTTAAAGGAGGTTCCAAGGCTTCCAAATATAAAGCTTGTTCTGGAGTGGATGTCATGGCTCCTATCTTCTTCATGTGCCTTGTCCGTTCCGAACGTTGGCAATCAACATGGCTATTCTGACTTTGGTTATGGCAGATCTGAATAGTTCAGCAGATGACAATCCGAACCATTGCCGCAAGTTTTGGAGCCACGAGTGTCTTCTCCTCCCTGGACCCCTTCTGCTGTCTATTTTCCCTTGAACGATCAGCTATAGTACTCTATATTTATTATGTCTCATAACGTGACCCAAGTGTTCCAACTTTCTTTTCTTTATACTTATTTCTACCTCTCTCTCTTTAACTATCCGGCGTAGTACCTCTTCATTGGTCACGTGCTTAGTCCAGGATATACGTAATATACGTCGGTAAGCCCACATTTCGAAGGCCCCTACTTTTTTCATCAATTTTGCGGTCATTGTCCACGCCTCCATTCCATATAACAAAACCGGGAATACATAACATTTCAGAAGTCGAATTTTGAGAGGTAGGGTGAGGCTTTTAGAGGTGAACATTTGCTTCATGCTAGTGAACGATGCTCTTGCCTTTTCTACTCTTATACGTATTTCCTTCGCTTGATCCCAATTTGAGTTAACTGTTGTTCCCAAGTAGATGTACGAATCCACGTGTTCAATTCTTTCATTGTCTAATATCAGTTGCTGTGGTGGTTGTTGGGTTTTGCTTTCTAACATCCATTTGGTTTTTGTGATATTTAGTCTGAGTCCGTATTGTGCACTTGTTTTTTGTATCTTACTCATTAGGCAACTCAGTTCTTCCATGCTACTTGCTAGAATCACAGTGTCGTCAGCATACCTTATGTTATTAATTATTTCTCCATTTATCTTTATACCTTCTGTACTTTCCTCCAGCGCTGTCTTAAATACTTCTTCTGAGTATATATTAAAGAGAATAGGAGACAAGATACAGCCCTGTCGTACCCCTTTCTTGATCTCAATTTTATTGGTCAATGTAGATCCTACTTTCACTTTAGCTGTTTGACCCCAATAGAGCCTATTGTTCGAATGTCTCTGTAGTCGACTCCGATCTTATGGAGAACTTCAATTATCTTTTCGTGCTTTACGTTATCGAATGCTTTTGCGTAGTCTATAAAGCATATGTACACGTCTTTGTTCATATCTCTGCAGCGCTGGATACTGGCTCCTATACATATTCGTAATGCTGAGTTCTGTAAAACGTTGATTTTGTTTAGTAATAGCTGCAAGATAATTCAAAACCCTTTTCTATAAACCATTTTTGATGGAAGCCATTGACACTATTCAGGTTTTCAATGGATTGTGGTATTTTTGTATTCTGTGTGCACACAGAAATCGTCAGTTTATTGTACAATATTAAATGCAATATTAGTAATAGTGATGGTGTCAGGGGTTTTTGGGGCCCAAAAATGAGATTTTTTAATTTTTATAATTAATTTTTATTGTTATTTAACAGAAAAACATGATATCCATAATTATTGCTGAAACCAAATAAGACTAGATGCAGTTTGTTCATTTAATTTCGAACACCATTCAACCCAACTTTTGTTTGGCCTTTAATTTCAGGAAGTTTTTGACACGAGCATTCACTTCTTTGCATTTACCAAAATTTTCAGAAGAATTTTTTTTGTAGTTTACTAATGTTTTCCTTCTTTCCACAACGGATTGATCATATTCCGAATCCCACCTCGTATAGATCTAAATGATTCATATTAGCAAATAGATTGTTTAGAAGCTTCATTAATACAGTCAATAAAGAAATTATATTTTTCTTGTGTATTTAAGGACGTGTGAGGGTTGTTGCGAGAGTTGTTAGTTAATAAGGTATCAACTAATTGAGAGTATGGTGACCAGTTGGCTTTTTTAATATTCCACTCACTATGATAAATAATATTAGCATTAATTCCCAAGATACCGAGTACAACCTTTATAACGAAGGGATTTGATCCCAAAGTAGCACGATCTACAGACCACTAAGTTTAATCAAAAAGAGAAGGTGAACAAAATGTGTCATGGAATCCGTGTTTTCAGGTCTCGGTTGGCAAGTTGGTTGTCCACTATTTATTACCTGTAAGTAATTGTTTCTTTACGTGCAAAACCTAATTATGAATATATACTATCCAAGGCTCACTTTCCGACATTCGAGCAGCGACGTCTTCGGGGTGACCTAACTATGCCCTTCTGTATTTTAAAATATAATTGGGGGAACCTAAACACCATATTTACTTTAAATCAAGACGAAAGATTAAGAGGCCATCGTTACAAATTAAAGAGGTAAAAATAATATTTAATATCTGGAACAATTTGGATCAAGAAAACATATCGGAAACTATTTAAAAATAGGCTTGATAGTTCTTTATTTCACTTATAGGACTGAGATATTTTAGGACCGCGTTATTTATTTATTGTTTAACAATTTTGTATGATGTACTTAATTGTAACTTTATAATTGGTATTAGTGTTATAATGATACTTTTCGTTGTTTTTGGCATAATAGTAGCTCGCTTCTCTGCCCTTATTTGTTTTATAATAATAACCTGATAAAATTTTATAATTGAGGCCAATTGTTTATTTCAGTAGACATGTAAATTGAATTTACAGATTCTATGCCTATCATAATAATTGTCCAGATTTATTATAATGATTGGTAAACAAATTTTTATTTATATATCTCTAAAACAATCAATCATACCTACCTCGTTCAGGGCGTAGTGCTTCCTTCATGATACATTTCAAACAACAGTACTAAGCTATAAAAGTTTTAGCAAGTGATAAATCATTGCGTGAAGATTAACCAATATACAAACATAATCTCTAGGCAACCACCATTACTTAACAGAGAAATAAAAGGTGCATAAGTTTATGTCCATTGTAATGGACAAGGAGTCTGAAAGGGATAAGACGTATCAAACTTTATTTACATTAACAACTTGACATGCTACATTGGAGTTAAGGTGTAAAAAATGGTTTTTAATTGGTATAATTTTATTTTTAGCCACTCTTGGAGAGCAGTCCTGTAAGGATTGCCAGTGCTCGCGTTACAACTAAATACTCTAAACTTGAAAATGATTTTGATAGCCCCCAAAGACAATTTCTAAATGATACACTTAGCCAACAACAATATTTAACTAGACAACAAGATGAACATTTGGAAGCTATTAGTGATTCTTTAGGATCTTTAAAAACCGTTTCTAGACATATTGGAATCGAATTGGATGAGCAGGCGGGGTAAGTAATTTAGATACTAAAAATTTCATAAATTGTATCCATATATTGTTACGTAGATATATTTATAAAACAGGTTGCTTAAAAAGATAATTGATTAAATTTTTGCCAATTTCATCACTTCAATTGATTTGATTTGATACAAAAATCTAATATAATAAATAAACGGGTCGTTTTCGATAACACAGTTAACGTTAATGATGCAGCTGATTGAGCGAATGACGTATTTTGAATCACTGGAGACACTAAAGTTCTCCTACCGGCAAAACGATAATAAGCTAAGTTTTATTGTTAAAATTCTTTAAAAAAATAAGCGACGAATATTCATCATAATTGGTATTTGTTATGCATAATCTAATGTAGAGATAACGTAAATTGAGAGACATCTTATATATCATTCTATAGAATGGAGGACAAAACAGTTTTGTCGATCGGAAAGGCTATGGGTAACTATGTTTTGGAGCTCTCATTGAATTGTCTTGGTCTACTACTTAGAAAACAGGAAAACAATAAATTACGAGTAGTATACCGATTTGTTACAGATGTTAACCTTGGTTTCCTTGAAAGGTTTCCTTTTTTCACTCTAAACGTGTAACGAAATATTTTGCTTACCTCGGGGTAAGAACATGGGGTTCGAAAATTGGGGACAGAAACTAAGGAGTTAAGAAGGAGCAAACAAAATAATCGATACTGGTGCGTACGGCACTCAGGGGTTTGTTGGAGAGCTGGGTCGTGGATAAGTTGAATTAAAGGGGTCAGATTAGGGTAACTACAAAATGAAAACAAAGGGATACTTACATAAATCTCCTTGAACAAAACGGACAAGATATGGACAGACAAGAAATACCTCTAGCTATTTTCTATTACTCGGACCCCGCTTCGAGAAAACTTCCTGCTGAAAGAAAGAAAAATTGTTCTTTCCTAAAATCAAGGATACATACAAGGGTTAGGAGACTTTTCTAAATTAAAATAAAAAAATTGATCAGAGAAATAAATCAAACGTTTATTTTTGTCTCAAACAAACAGTTATCAAAAAACAGATTGCACAAAAAACATACTATATAATATAATACAAAATTAACAAAAACTTACGTGTTTATCTGTTTACAAAGGAGATTGCTACAAAAATTTTCGAAATGGTTCCTAGGTTATTTATTAATGTGACCAAAATAGATTATTAAAATTAGGGATATCCTTGTAAATGAAAATATCGTAAAATTTAACCTTTTCTATGAAACATCTTTTCTATATAATGATCAAATTAAATTTTTTACAACAACAGATTAGAGCCAAACTGTCATATGCCAACACAACATTTTAAGACAGAATAAATTATGACATTTTTTTAGCTTCGCCTCTAACCTAATATATAATTTTAATTATTACAAATTTTTAAATGAAAGCAGTACTTAAAAAAGTGTCTCTTTTACTTTGAAAATTAATAATTAATTGTTACCTTAATTTCACATATTTCGTCACTTGATTTTAAAAAAACTTGTTAATATCTCTGAGATTGAAGCTACCTAGACAAATTCTCAAACAGGAATAAAGGAAACTTTCTGTAAACTGGAACGACGATCAAAGACGCAAACCAGGTTGGAGCAAGCAGACGACAAACGAAGCTGGTGGGGACACCCTATATACTGCTTTCAAAATTCAATCAGTTTCCGGTATACTGCACAAATCTTAATGTGGTTACTCTGTTTTAAAATGCCATATTAAAAGGAATAAATCATAACCTTGACCGGTCTTGAAACTTGAAACTTAATTAATCATTACACAAATTTTGCCGACTTCTCTTTAGAAGTCTGACACCTCTTCTCAATTCGAATGCCCTGCTTCACTAAAAATCTTTCCTTAGACTCCAAACCAAACGCAATTCAAATTCCTCTCACGTCTTGGAACCAGTTCGTACCTACAAACTTAACAAACATAATACCTATTGCCAAATAACCTTGAAACATACTACTTTCTACCTCATAATGTATACAGATAATTGGGGGATTTTAATGTAGGGGAAAGTAGTGTACCTTGGGCATGATTTTTTAATTATATTATAGTTTTGGTACAGTGTACAATAGTTCAAGTATTATGTCACAATTATTATCATTAGACCTTTAGACATCATATATTGCGCAAATATTTTCTGAAATTGCATTATTGAGATATTACTGATATGATAAACAATTATTTCCATTTGGCTCAAGGTACACATAAGCTGTGTACCTTGGGCATACATGAAGCGTACCTTGGGCATAATGAAGTGTACCTTGGATTTTTGGCTTGTATATCATTCTGAAAGAGTCTAAAGAACATTTGTTTATTGTTTAAATATTTAAACAAGGTCGGTTTGAATTATTTTTATTTAGAAATTCAAAACAGAAAACATATGCAAGTAAAAACATAATTTTATTCCAAATTGTATGGATAACTCTGAAGGTTGCTTAGTTGAAGAGCGCGTCTTTTAGAAGATCCTACTTCACATGGTTGAGGTAACTTGATCAAAAAGTCTGGTTTTTTTATGATGTAAATACGTTCGTCTTTATAAATAAATGTATTTTCATTTCGTTTTAAATATTGTACCAAAAACTCTTCTCTTTCTATGTCAATCACTTCAGTCAACTAATAATGTATTTTCTTTTTTCCTTCTAACTTTGTAATCCAAAATTCATTTTGCTTAATATTCAAATCAAAACTCGTCTTTGACATGCTTCTAGATTTAATGTCACTGCAATCAGAAATTGGTGGCCAATCAATATTATCCACTGAATCACTTTCACTGATTTCTAATTCAGACTCCGATGTTGAACTTTCCAGAACCTTGCGTTTTACTTATTTTATTTTCTGCTTTTGCTTAACATATTTTTTTGTTGCCTTTTCCATTATTTCATTTTTTTTTTCCGGTGTTTCAGTTAAAATTCGACATGGACCAAGTTGTCTTCTTGTACGACCAGTTCTTGGCAGGGCTTTTGGAAAAGGTCTGATAACATCAGGAGAAATCAGTTTACCAGTAGAAATCTCGATAGGTACGAAGTGTAAACTGGGTTCACTAAAGGAGGTTCCAGGCTGTGGAGAATTATAATCAACTAACTTTACTTGCTATTATTTTAACTGTTTGGTGCACGGTTGTGATTCCAGTTTCATCGATATTGTAAATATTTTCTGGAGAAAATTTATGTTTATCCAATAAATATTTTAGTTTATCAAAAAACAATTTAACGTTGTTGCGATTAAAACTGGTGGCTCGCGACAAGCTAGTTGATTGAGGTTTTCTGAGAGTTAGAATTGGGTTTCGTTTCATAAAATGTTTATACCAATCTCTTCCAGCTTTTTTCCGTTCGTCCCATGTTGAGGGATAAACTTTCTTATTAATTTTTGCAAACTCATATGCTAATTTATGAGTCTCTAAAATAGAAAGTCCATAAAGTATTTTACTAGCACGGACTAAGTACAGTCCCAATACATTCTCTTCTGTTGCTGTAAATACTTTTCGTACGTCACATTTATTTTGATATTGATAACTATTACCATCATCTCCCATGTCTTGGGCTTTGTGGATATGTCTCTGAAGCGTGCTACGTGGTATTTCAAATCTTTTAGCAGCATCCCGAATCGAAGAGGAATTTGACACTACTAAACTGAGTCATTTATATTTAATGTGTTGGGTTTACTCCTGGTTACTCCATTTTTACTTCGTGACATCTGTAAATAATAAAGGATAACAAAAATAAATATAAAATTAAAAAAACAGTTTTTATTTAAAATTTAACTGCATTAACTACCGATGTGTGTGTACCTTGGGCCGGCCCAAAGTATGCTGACACTACCCGGCCCAAAGTACCCACACATCAGCTAAACCTCGTTACATAAATAAAATTGTGATTTTAAAATAGATTTAAACCTTAATTGTGTACACAAATGTTCCAGAAACCATAAGGAATACCCTCAAAAATAAAATCTTAAATCTATCACTTACCGTGCTGGTAATTACAAAAAAAAAGACACACACAAAAATTTACTTTTGTATCGAGCAACTCTTAAAATGCAAATGAACGTCTCTGAAGGTCAGATCAACGATGGCGGTCAGTGTGTATCGGTATAAAGCGCTGTTGCCAGTATCGCTTAAATGTTTCAATATCAAAGAATTAGCGCAACAGAATATTTCAAGGATGGTTCAAGGTACCGTTCCCGTCATAAAAAACTGGTACAATTCTTATAATCAAAAATCGTGTTTTTTAAGTTGTGTAAGTTGATCTTGTCAGATGTGTTATTCTAATTTCTAGAGCAGCATTGCCAGTTCAACGAAAATATTATATAAAACCAGCTAAAAGCAGGACTGTGTGACAGATCGCCAGTTGTGACAATACTAAAAACTAAAACATTATCGAGCATTCTCGATCAGTCAGTCACATTAAATTTGTTTAAACATGCACCCTAAAAAATTCTCATATTAATTTTGTAATTTTCCATCATCTCAATTAATTACCATTTATTTGTAATTATTATGTAATTATCATTGATTTGTATTTTATAACAATTTATGAAAATATTTCAATTCAAAAATAATGACAGATAATCAACCTACACAAACTTCAAATTATTATAATAAAATATTACAGTGAGATATTGGATTGAAGCTGTCACGTTTTGAAAAGCGTTTTTTCGCCACGGATATTTTATAGTTTTTAATACGTAGGATAAAGTAAAATGTTATTTTTTTACATTTATTGTTCCTGTAATAAATAATAATTTAATCTTGGTAGTTTGTTACTAAACTTATTGACACAAAATACAGTTCGTGTTCGGTAGGTAATTGAAGTATAAAAGTACAGTAGGTGCATTCCAATGTTCCCTGTGCCCTGTGCCAATACCACAGGTTTAAAGATCCTGCAAACATTTTGGACAATAACTCAACCCTGTCTTTGCTTATTTAATTTCTTAGATATGGTTTTGTGATGTTAATGATAAAAATAATACCTATCTAAAAATTTTATACATTTTTT